AACAGGAATAGGAAATTTTTAAATGCAAAATTTCAATTATCTTTCAATGATTCTACAAGATCATCCACTGACACAAAACTCTTAGGGTGCATTTTGTGGAGATTCTATACAGCTACTGGAAACCTACGTTACCCAAAGAATTATATACATTGATTCTCTCTCTATAAGAAATTACAGAGAATGTCTGTAAGACATTAAGAAATCATATTTTTGATAGTGAAAATAGTGGTTATTTTTCTTCTTTAAACTTTTCTAAACTTTTCAAACTATCACCAACACCACCAAAAAGTCATCAAGACAACCAACAAAGACAACTTAGTTTTGGCTGATTTTCACCTTCTGTTCTAATAAAATTAAAAAACAAAAAAAGAATCCTAACTAAACTAAAAATTATATGAAGGTCAGTAATGATGCAGTCATTAATGAAATATACTTGGTCAGATAGAAACAGATCAAAAAGTTAACCTGTTTTTACTTTCAAATCCTTAAGTTAAAAGACAGATTTATTCAGAGCACAGTGCTAGCAAAGAAAAAAAAAAAGTCAAATGTTTCTTGAGTCTACCATGACAGAAAGCCAAGTTTGAAAGACTGATTAAATCTTAAGCCATGATGTCAGTATAATCTGGAGCCATGATTTTTAAAAGCAAACAAAAAACTAAAAACAAGGTCATTACTATAAAATTTTCCTGCATTATAGAACCACAGTTGGCCTGGCTGGTATGGCTCAGTGGACTGAGCACCTGCTAACCTAAAGGTCAGTGGTTCAATTCCCAGTCAGGGCACATGGCTGGGTTGCAGGCCAGGTCCCCATTGGAGGGCATGCGAGAGGCAACCACACATTGATGTTTCTCTCCCTCTCTTTCTCCCTCCCTTCCTCTCTCTCTAAAAATAAATAAATGAAATCTTTAAAAACAGAACCACAGTTGATCCAAGTAGACTATACAGTTCTAGTGCAGTTAACTGGTATGTTCATGATAGATACATGTACTTTTTTCTTGACACTAAAAAAGCCCACTAGAAGCTAATGGATTAGGACAAATGTTCCTGGTATGAGAATAATGTGAAGTATTTCTTAACCAGTGTGCTGAAATAATCACTGCCTGCTTTACCACCTAGTTCAGTAAATTAAAAATCTTTCTTTGGATCTCCAGAACACACACACACACAAAAAAAGAAAAAGAAAAAGAAAAAGAAAAAGAAAAAGAAAAACAGCCTTGGCTGGTATGGCTCAGTGGATTGAGCACCTGCCTGTGAACCAAAAGGTCGCTCAGCCAGGGCACAAGCCTGGGGGTTGGGAGACAGGTCCCAAGTTGGGAGTGTGCAAGAGGCAACCGATGGATGTTTCTTTCATACATCAATGTTCCCTTCTCTCTAAAAAGAAAAAGAAAGCTCTGACACTTTCCATCTATTTTTCCACTGTTCAGATTCCATTTCCAGTGGCTTTTTGTTTTTGTTTGTACTTGAAATTCAAATGAGTCAGTTATTACCCTTAATTACTACCATAAAGATTAGCCCAGGGTTGTCAATTCTCCCAAATCAGAAAAATAACATTGAAAGCATTCAAAGGGATAGCTTAAAATTTAATCAGTGATTGATATACATATAGTTAAGAATTTACTTATTTATTTTTAGAGAAAGGGGAAGGAGGGAGAAAGAAAGGGAGAGAAACATCAACGTGTGGTTGCTTCTCACATGCCCCCTACTAGGGACCTGGCCCACACAACCCAGGCATCTGCTCGGACTGGGAATTGAACCAGCAACCCCTCCATTCACAGGCTGGTGCTCAATCCACAGAGGCATACCAGCCAGGGCAGTGATTGGTATATTTTTTATTCTCCTCACTCCAAAACCAAAAGCTTACAACTTGGAAGATCATAAAGTAAAAGCATTCAGTAATAAAGCTACCAACAGGCAATCTTGTGCCAACAAATACAAATCTAAAATGCTGTTCTCTGAGAGAACCAAACATTTTCTCTCGTCAAAAACCTATCATAGAATCATGAAAGGTACCCACCCATTAAAAGTTTTAATTTAATAAAAAACATAAGACTTTAAAGTTTAGAATAAGGTGTTAAAGTAAATGGACCCATGTGGGGGTGATAAAAATAAGAATTTACTTTCTTCTTTTCTATATTTGCCATCTTTTCTCTAATTGCTTTTATGATAACAAATTTCATTAAAGACAAAAGAAACTAAAGTCAGGCTGCTAAAAATTCGCATGCTGGTTGCCCTAGTGACCTTGCATAATAAAATATCCACCACCTCCTCTCACCTCAAGTAATTTTCACTAATGCTTTTCCAAAAGTTTTCCAGAAACTCCTAGATTATTTTACTAGGCACAATATAGAGTATAAATACAGCAAGCAGGCCAGCTACTGGTATACTTGATGCCAAAAAAATATAAACATGATTTCTGGGTTTAGTTCTGTTGAGGTCATTCATCAGAGAACTCCAAAGAAGGATGATTTGCCACTATATTTACTTAAGAATTACTACTCCTTGCCATTTATTCTTCCTACTCACCCCTGGAAAAGTCCTCCTCATTCCCTCTGCTTCTCCAAAACTACTGCTAATAATTCCCTAACAGGTCTTTTTTCTATAAAGTCTTCCTTAACCCAACTAGCCAACCACAACTCTCTACCCTCTTTTGAAATTTTGTTGCTCCAAACAAAATTATATGTGCGGATATCTGGAATTTGCTATATCTGCTAGTATTTGACATACCTACAACCTATTTTGTATACTCCATGATCAGCTCCTTGAGAGTAGGGATTACAGTACATTCCTAAACCCTACCACTACTAGAATGTCTCACAAAATAATGATGTACACCATTTAGTGTGCTTCCAGTTTTCCAAATTCCTTTACATACATTTTAACTTCACTACTACCCTGATAGGAATGACTCCTATTATCCTATTTTTATTTATCTTTTAAATGCCTTGAAATTTTATGTTTTGCCAGATGTAATCACTTTTTTAAAAATATTTATTGTATTTTTTCCATTACCATTTAGTCCCCTTTTACTTCTCCCATTATCCTATTTGTAAAAAGCATAAACAAACTCAGAGGCTAAATAATCTGTCATTGTTCTGTTAAATTAATCTTCAAAATCTACTTACAGCACTAAATATGTGTAGCAAATATAAGAAACTTCCTGAACAAAAGGGGTTTACAAACCTCCAGAAAGCGGCCAATCCATGTACTTTATTGTTGCCAGGAAAATTAAGGACATCAAGTTCAACTCTGCCCAACTATGCAAAACAAACTTTGTCCTTGGAGCCTTTCATAAAGAAATTTTAAAACTGCCAACATAGCAAATACAGCACTACGGGAACATTACTCTCAATTTCTTAGTTTGTAAAATTTTAATTAAATACTATGGCTTCTGTTTAATACAAAAAGGGGGCATTTTGCATAAAACCACAATATTACAAAACTTGAAGTCAGAATGCATTTTGCAAGAGCCATGTGACACACACATGACTGTCAGCTAAACTGATGGGTGGACCTTGTAGGGGAAACGTTTAGTTGACCAAAGCCGCCAATAAGCTAAACTTTGTTTTCTTTCTTTTTTCAAATCTTCACCAGAAGATATGCTTATTGATATTTAGAGAGAGAGGAAGGGAGGGGGGAGAGGGACAGAAATATCCATGTGAGAGAAAAACATAGATCAGTTTAGTTGCTTCTCATAGGCGTCCCAAACCGGGACGGATCTGCAACTCAGGAAAGCATCCTGACCAGGAATCGAACCCGAGACCTTCCGGTTTACGGGATGGTCCAACAAAGTCATGCTGGCCAGGGCTAAACTCAACTTTTATAACAAATACTGATCTGCTTTAAAAAACAAACAAACAAACAAACAAAAAAACCACCCTGTCCCCCACAGCCAGGTAAATTTAATAGTTAAAAGGAACACCAGGTAAATTTCCTCCAATTTATTCATTAATTTATATATGCAAACTGCAGAAGGATTTTTTTAAAGGGCCATTAAGAGAGCCCAATAAAGTCTTCCCAAGGAAAGTGAACACCAGTTCCCCGGAAAAGTGCCAGGTGTGTCACATCTGCTGTGGTGACTTCTTGAGTAAGCAAGAAAAAGAAATGCATTAACTTTTCATGACACGTCATGGAACCTCATTCCCTATCTGCAAACATTCAAGAAGGTAATACAAAACCTCAGATCTATCATAGGGCCCATTCGTTTCTCTTTCAACTTGACAGGAAAGTCTTCTTTTAATTTGGTAACACCAAACAGATGTTCTTAAGATTTAGTTTTTTTCTTTCTTGACCTACACAACACAAAATGACTTTAGTGTCCTCTAAAAGAAATTTTCACAAATGCCTAGGTTTTTAGGAAGGCAATGGGTCTGGCGAGTTCTTAAAAAACTCCCAGAAATAACTTTAAAAAGAACTAAAAATTTTAAATCTACTCACTCCCCTCAATCCCACGCAGTCCTGAAAAACAACTGTATTACCTGCAACCTGGCGGGGAGGGTGGGAGCAGAGCCAACAAGCTCAAGATTTACAAGTAAACTGGTCTCCACCCAAACGATTCTGACAGCTCCGCAGAGTGCGGGGGCAAGGTCTGACATTGCCCTCCAGAAGAGCTCTCCCACCCCATCCTCTCCTCTTAAAAACAAGTCCTCCTTCAAAAGTCACTGCCTCCAAGAGAAACTATCCCTTCCCACCGCCCTACCACCAACTCCCAAACGCCCCCATCCTTCAGAGCAGACAGTTCCTCCGCACTGGCCCGGCACTCAGGCCTCCACCCTGACCGGGTCCAGGCCCGGTGGCTCACCACTCCAACCCAACCCCTCCCCGAGGCCGCCCCTCCACCGTCAGACAATGGGGCCCGACTCCCGGTCGCCAGCCTCTCCTGCCCCATCATCCTTACCCCACCCCGGCCGAGGCCCCCACCCCGGCCCCAGCCCTCCTAGCCCCCTTTAAGCTTTCCTAAGCTGGCCCACGGACCCAGCCGACCGGTGCGCTCTTGCACTCACTATTCGGGATTCATGCTGGACATGTCACTGCAGCTGCCGCCGCCGCCACCGCCGCCCTTGCTGCTGCAGCCGCCGCCCTGACTCTCGGCGCCACGGGTAATGGGAGAGGAATGAGATAGGCTGTTCCGGGAGAGCAAACGTCTTCCCCACTCCGTCCCCTTAGAACACAATCAGGAGCAGCCGCCACTCAGCTACCGCTTCCACCCAAAATGGCCGCCGGCGAACCAGGAAATAGGAAAGCCTTAGACCGAGGGGCCTTTACCTAGCCCAGGGGGCGGCCGCACCGCGTGGCACGACGGGAAAGAGTGTTGCTAGCAAGTACGTGGGAGCTGAGACTGACGGTGTGGCGCGGGGACCAGGACTCAACTTCCCGCCAAGCCCCGCGCTTCTGGTGCATGCGTACTGGAGGGGTTGTCGCCCTCCCCATTCCACACTCTCTCACCGCCCCCTCCGCCTCTCCCTGCTCCCCTCCCCGCTGACTCGCTGGCTAGGACTTCGCTCGGACTCCCCCTAGCGGATTGGCTAAGGCCGAGCGGCCCTGGTGATGTCATCAGTGAGACGTGGCAGCCTGGCGAGTCAGCGCCTCAAGGGGGAGGTGGAACGGGGAAGGGGGAAGGGAGGAGAGGGGAGGGGTAGGAGGAGGTCGGGGCTGGCCGCAGATAGAGGTTGGGGGTTGGGGAACATGAGGAAATTGGGGTGAACAGAGAGGGGTCGGAACCCGAGGGAGCGGTCGAGTGCGGGAAGAGGGAAGTGGGCCAGAGGACATTCCTAGCTGCTCCTGCCTCCCAGTGCGCTTTTTACTGGCCAGACCGTGTTGAGACTTAAGCTTTCAGGCTGATCTCAGGACGTCCGCTCTAAGGACGGAAGAGGAGTTAAGGGGTCCCTGCTAAAAACTTCGCGTCTGCGGAAAACGTGAAGCCGCTCTTTCAGTTTTCTTCCTCGCTCACGTAACCCGACAGGCACTACCATTTTCTTTTTTCTTTTCTTACCATTCCCTTTCAGCCCTGCTGTGATCTCCGCAGGCTGGATATCACAGAAGCCTCCCAGTACACTAAACTGCCTCTACCTCTTCTTTGTTCCAGGCCATTTGCACACACAGCCAGATTTATCTTCCTGGAGCAGCACTTCCACCACAACCCCACAACTTTCGGAGGCTTCACATCCCGTGACTGGGACACAGCCCAGGGTCCTGTCCTGGTCTCAGCCTTCAAGTTGAACTGTACTTATTTTTAGTTGTTTAATGCTGAGCTGTTCTGCAAGACTGGAAAGTAATAAGCGATAGAAACATGCAATTCACCACTGTATAACGTTGAGAAACTCCAGGAGTAGTATTAACACATTTTTGGTCTTAACAGCTCTCTAGAATCAGCTTGGGAATTTAAACCTCCACTGAACTTTAACACATTATCTTGAGTTACTTAATTACAAAGGGCATAGTATAATACATTGTCCAAAGTTTATCTTCCAACTTTTTTTAAGAGCCAAGAAAATTATCTGTCGAATGACTGCAAAGTCACTTTAAATTCCAAAATATAGAAAGAAGGCAGTTGTTCTACCCATTTGCTAACTACACACCTTAACTCCTCAATTCCACCATGTGCCTCAGTTGACAACCTCATTAAAGGGTACACTAGAGTTCCTTCACCACACCAGAAGCACCCTGAATGGATCAATGATAGACATTAGTGTTTATTACCCCAGACTCCTGTCCTTTCTTGTTTATTGTGATTTCACAGAAGAAAAACAGAAATCTCTGAAGAACTCACCTGGATCCAAAAACAATTTTTAGCCTGCCCCTCCCATTGAAGGCATACCCCTAAATTTCCTTGAATTGCCTATTTATTTTCCCAGCGAACAAATACCTCCCCTGCTTGGTGTGGCTCAGTGGATTGAGCACTAGCCTGTAAACCAAGGGGTTACAGGTTTGATTCCCAGTCAGAGCACATGCCTGGCCTGGGGCCAGGTCCCCAGTGGGGGACACGTGAGAGGCAGCCACACATTGATGTTTCTCTCCCTCTTTTTCTCCCTCTCTTCCCCTCTCTAAAGTAAATAAAAATTTAAAATAAAAAAAATAGCTCCTAATAACTTATAACTGAAGTGAGAGTAGTTGTAAGAATTAAAACAGATTATAAAGCATACTGCACAATGGCTGTGGAGGCACTTGGTAAATGTTAATTATCTTTCTCCTTCTCTTAACTTCCCTGGGACTTCTAAGTGTACTTGCAGTGTGTTGTAATATGCACAGAGATCAGAGGTGGCTTAGCTTGGGAGTGGTGGCCGGTTGTTTCCTACAACCTACCACAACTTATATGTCATTTGTGTTAAGACTTCCTTCCCAACTTAAAGTGTCAGTTTTGCTGATTCGAACAATATATTTTACGTGTAGATGTTTAAGAGTGGCTACTTTTATATACTCACATTAATAACTCAGAATAATTCTTTAAACTACCATGAGCCCTGTTGGTTGCCCTATTATTAAGTCAGAACTCTTCTAGAGTGGTTTGGCCATTTGTTCTTGGGATCATTCTTTTCTTTCTCCCTTTCTTTCTTCCTTTCTTTCCTTTTCTTCTTTCCTTTTCCTTTTCTTCCCTTTCTCTTTTATCAAATACTTATGACCTGGCCCATAATAAATGTGTTTGGAACTTGTGCTTGGAACCATGAGAAATAGAAAGGTGAATAATCACCACTCTCTGTCTGCAAGATTACAACCCGGTGAGAGAAATATGTGTATACAGACAAGGCCTACAGGGGAAAATGCAAAAGTAAGATTACATTCTCTAAGGTGCACAGAGACAGAAATCAGATCAGTGATTACCAGGAACTAGGATTGGGAGGAGGAAAATCTGCAAACGGACAGAGGGGAACTTGGTTTGATAGAAATACAGTAGTTATACAAAAATGTTTGACTGCACAGGAGGTCGACACCTCTAACCTCCATGTTGTTCAAGAATCAACTGTACTCTATGTCTTCATTATGGTGATGGTTAGTTATACCTCAGCTATGAACCTGACATTCAGAAATTATATGAGGTGGAAATATAGAGGAGGGAAACAACTCCTACTGAAATTATTGGGAATGCTTTTATGAAGGAAATGAAATTCAAATGATATTTGAATTGGGCCTTCAAATAGATTAAAATTTTGATCATTGGTAAAAATGGGGGAAAGAGAGCCATTTATTCTATAATGACAAAAGAATATGTGCATACCCTAGAAGTGCAAAGATATGCATGTGTTTAAAGAACAGTTCCATGGAAGATGAGGTGGGAGACAATGAAGTTAAAATGAGATCATGGGAGCCCCAATGCCTGCTGAAGAGTTTTAACTTTATTCAATAGCCAATAAAGTCAAAAGTTCTGAGAAGAGGATTGAGGTGATCAACTCAGAGTTTTGGAAGTACTTTGGAGGTAGGGAGATTAGTTAAAAGGTAACTAGATTTATTTAGGCAAGAGTTGGTGTGTCCTGACCTAGAGCAATTGCATCAAGAATGAAAAGGAGAGGAGATTCCAGAGAAGAAGAGGTAAAATCTGAAGAGTGGACAGGGAGGAGCTAAAACTGACTCAGAGATATCCAGTTTACCTGTCAGCATGGGAACCAAGGCCCAGCCAAGTCAGAGAACAGGGGAGGAGGGGAGAGAAGTAGGGTAAAGAAAAAAGAGGAAGGCGGGCAGTGCTATGCAGTTCTCGGTCGGAGTTAAAGCTGTCCTGGTATAGAAGTACTAGACTATAGTCATGTGCTGCTCAGTGAAGGGATATGTTCTGAGAAATGTGTCTTTCAGTAATTCTGTCATTTTGCAAACATTGTAGAGTGCACTTACACAAACCTAGATGCTAGATCCTTCTACACACTTGGCTATACGATCTAGCCTATTACTCCTAGGCTACAAGTCTGCACAGTTTGTTGCTGTACAAAGCAATACAAGACTAAATTAAGCACAAGAGAAAATGATGGAATCTAGAGACTTCATAAACACAAGATTTATGAGGCTGCTGCCAGCATAACAAGGCATACTGTTTTACAATACTTTTTTATAAGTAGAAAGAGTACACTCTAAAATAACAAAAGCATGGCATAGTAAATACATAAACCAGCAGCAGTCATTGATTATCATTATCAAGTTTTCGGTACTGTATGTAACTGTATGTGCTATACTTTTATAAGGCTGGCAGCTCAGTAGGTTTGTTTACACCAGCATCACCACAAAGTGAGTAAGGTGTTGCACTATGACTTCAGATGGCTACGACATCACTAGACTGTAGGAATTTTTCAGCTCCATTATAATCTTATGGGACCATATGTGGTCCTTTGTTGACTAAAACGTTAAGTGGCACATTACTGTACCAGAAATTGCCCCCCTTCCGAATCAGCACAAAACACAGAAGACTGGCAAAGACAGAGAAAACCAGATACTAGTTGAAGTAGACTTTATTCAGTAATAACTATTGCAATAGGGAAAAGGGCCTAAGGTGAATTGAATTTAACGTGCTCGCTAAAACAAAAGGAAGACTTTTTAAAAGCTGGTGTGTGCCAAGGAAAAGGCATTGAAAGGTGTTAAGGGCATTGGTCCATGTGATTAGGCCATCTGGGTTTAATAATTAACATTTAATTGGAAGACAAACTTTTTTCATGTTATAAAACAATTCATCATAGGCTCTTTTTCTATCTTTTTGACAGAAGGTAGTGATACCTTCTGGTAAAGAGCCCCGGGCTGGGAGTGAGTTATCTTTTGCATGTTTGCATTTTAAAAAGAAAGGAAGCAGCAACGGACTTATAATTGCAAGCTTTGAAAAGTAACTGCATAAAGAAGGGGTTCTGGGGCCAATCTGACTATCACTAAATTTTGGCTGGAACAAACAGTAAATTCTCCAGGCATTTTAGGGGAGGGAGGCTGGGATTATCCTAAAGATGTGGCCTTGAGCTGCAGAAATTATCCTGGTGTTTGTTTGTTCAGACCTCTTAGTGTGTGTGTGGGGGGGGGGCGGGGAGCGAGACACAGGGGGCGGGAGGATAGGGAAGATGGACAAAATCATTTGTGCTGAGAGCTCTAATAGTTTTTATAGGCCAAGGTTGAGATGTAGCTGAGAACAGAACACGAAGGAGGCAGACTAAATTTTGGTAAAGGAGAGGGTTTGTCAAAATCTGGATTTAAGATGTTCAATGACTGTGAGCAAGATACCTTTATTGCAGCCCTGGCTGGTGTAGTTCAGTGGATTGAGCGCGGGCTGTGAACCCAAGTGTCG